GTCCTGTTTAAAGCCTTGATAGTATAGTGGGAGGTGGGATATCCTGTCAGAGTACCCCAAGTATCCCAAACTCATCTGCGTCCCAGCACATTGCATAGCTCCTATTAGCTGCTTCATAGAGATGCAAGGGAAGGAGGGGAAAGATGCCTAAGGAGACATTTTAGATGTTGGCAGGACTCTAGGAAGTGAAAGAAATTTTGCTTTAAGTGAGTCATGAACACACAGGTTTGGTTCCTTGTGTTTCCGTTTCTTTGTACCAAATCAGGCTACGACAAAAATCTCCAATTTCATCTTGCTTCACTTTGCTATTAATTTAGTGAAAGGCTTTCTTATTGTAAGTGTAGTCTTAAATGAGGCAAGGATTTCCTTCTTTGATGAATAGCCTTTTGTTCTGAGATGCGTGAGGTTTATAAATGTTTCAAAGGGCTTTCAAATCCAAATTTACTCTGATACCAATTCTGAGAGATTGGCAGAATGCATATTAATATCTTTCTACAAGTGAACACCCAGCGTATTGTCGCCTCCATAAATAGTTAAATATTGAGTGCTAACCAAGGAGATAGCAATCCAAGATGGTAAGTGACTTGTTCAAGGTCACAGCTCTTTAGTGCAATGCCAAGAGGTAGAACCAAGACATCTAGAATTCATCTAATCATAACAGACTTAGTGGACAGTAGCTTCTGAAGAACGTAAGCCATCTTGTCCAGAATAAGGTTTCTCTTGAAACACCAGGAAGTATCCAATTCCTCACTCTTTCTGTTTGAAACCCAAAATGTCTCATGATTGGCATTTATTTCACCATCAGTTACGGGGAAATAAATACAAGCACATTTTCCTAATTTATTTTATACCTAAGGTGGGAAATAGTGAAAGACAAGGAAAATTCTAACTCATTTCCAAGTAACTAAGATCAGTACTTTCTCAACTTATTCCAGTCTTTGCTTCCATGAAAAGCAGCCCTTCCCATCAGAGCAAACACCTTGTTCATCTTCATTCTCTGTCCGTAGCTGGAAGCACTACCAAGAGCATGTAAGCCTGCGTGTTCTCTTGCTTGAAGCACCAAAACATATTTGACGGTTCAACCAATAAAAATATCTTCTGAGAACTACAGCAAGAATCCATGGAATCTTAATCATGGGGAAAATTCTGGAAGGAGAGCCAGACAGGTATTTTGCCTTCCAGGCCCCTGTGACTTATGATTAAGGTGCCTCATCCGGATGGCCTCCCTCGTGTGGGCATTACTCAATATCAATGATAAGGAAAACTTGCTGTGTTTCCTCCAACCACCGTGGCCAGCAAAGAGCCCCACTATGCCCAGAGAAGTCAATTCCTTTTTTTTTTTTTTATATCCTCAACCGTGTTCTTCATATGGTGGGAGATCAATAAAATAAATACTCATTGAATGAATAAGCGAATAAATGAAGAAACTGACCTTTGCAAACCAACTTTTTTTGTATTCTCTGTTCTCAATTCAGTGGGCCATCCTATGACAGCCATTCTGTGTGATCCGTCAGTGGGTGCCCAAAATAAGAAAAGTGTGTGTAACACAAGCGCAAAGATCCAGGAAGCCAGAAAAAAAAAAGAGTCCAGGAAATTCAGAACTGTATCCTGCTTTTCCACGCAAGGAAATACAGGCGGGTGATCTGGATAGGCATGAGGAGCCTGGGATCAAGCAGAATTCTGATGTCACGACTCAGGCTGCATTTTAGATGAAATCTGCAGGAATTTTGCCCTGCCTGTGCTTGCTGTTTGTAACTAGTGAGGGAAATTTACTGGAAAATGGAGCAGCATTGTGCCCCTGGGACTCTGGCTAGTGACTAAACATCCTGGGGGTCTGTTTACAGAGGTTGTTTTGTCTTAACCCTAGAAAAGCAAAAATAAGGCTGGAGTATCTTACCCTTTAATCAGCATGGATACTAATCTGAGCAGGCAGGATGTGTGTTCAAGCTTCCTAAATGCACCATGCATAGAAATCAGATGGGAAAACTACCCAGTTTCTGATCTGTGAATCAGTATTATATGGCAATACCAATAGCTCCTGCATTTATACAGAATTTGACAAGTTACAGAACAGTTCCCACTCATTATCTTACTTGAGTATCACAACAGCCTTGTGCTGGGTGTTATTCCAGTTTTATTGAATATCTTCAGGACTTGACACTAGTTTTTCAGAGGCAAGAAAAAAGGGTCGATCCATGCTTCCTTTTAAGGAAGAGATCTTGGCTCCTTTGTCTCAACTGATGCCAACTTCATGCCCTAAAAAACAGCAACCAAAACCTAAATAACAGGGAGTGAAAAGGAAAGTTCTTGCAGTCCTGATAAAGGCAACTATCCAGGCCATCCAACCTTAATTTTTATAATTACTACATGAAACCAAACCATCCTGCAGTTGTAGTGGGCTGCCCATCTGTGAAACTTCACTGACCCGGAGGGTTTTAGAACAGAAATAAACTCAGCGATTTATGGCCCAATACCTTCATTTTACTGAGGAGGAAGTGGAGGTTCAGAAAGATTAGATAAGATTGCCTGGCTTCCAGTTGCAACACCGCCTCTTGGCAAATTCCTTAACATATCTATACCTCAGTTTTCCCATATGTAATATGGGAATAACAATACCTATCTCATGGGGTTGTGTGAGAATTAGGATAGTGCCTATACTTAGTAAGTACTAAAAAAATACTGTAGCCAGTACTACAATCACATCATCTACCAAGTGCACATAGAAAAGTTGGGACTAAAATCTGACTCTAAATCCAGTGTTCTTTCTACCACAGGACATTATCTAATTCTGTGGGGAGAGTTCTTCTGCCCCCTTTGAGGTGCCAAAGGCATTAAAAGTAAATTCTTGTTTTCCACATCTAAATGCATAGTAGAAACTGGATTCAGAGAAAATGGATTCAGAGGCAATGGGCATCTAAGAAATTTGGTATTAGATAGATATCCACCATCACCTCAAAGAAAGGCACAACTAGTTATCTGGAATCTGTATTTGGATGGAGAGTTTCAGACAAACAAGCTACAGAAAAATAAAACACGGTAACTTCAGTAATAGGGTCAAAGAGTGTATAATTCTCCCTCCTCATTTCTAGTGGCTGATTTCCCATTGTCCTTTATGTGAAGAAGAAGTGGGAGGGAGTATTTTTTAAAAATTAGAAAGTCTGGGCTTCCCTGGTGGTGCAGTGGTTGAGAGTCCGCCTGCCGATGCAGGGGACACGGGTTCGTGCACCGGTCTGGGAAGATCCCACATATCGCGGAGCGGCTGGGCCCGTGAGCCATGGCCGCTGAGCCTGCGCGTCCGGAGCCTGTGCTCCGCAACGGGAGAGGCCACGACAGTGAGAGGCCCGCGTACCGCAAAAAAAAAAAAAAAAATTAGAAAGTCTGATATTCAAGAGTTATCACAGACCAAAAAAATAAATAAATAAACTTACCCATGGGTTAGAGGGAAGGGAGAGAGGTACAGGCAGAGCCCAGAGGGGTTTTAAGGCAAGGAAACCACTCTCTATTACACTGTAATGGTAGACATGTGTCATTATAAATTTGTCCAAATCCACAGAATGTACAACACCAAGAGTGAACTCGAACTGTGGACTTTGGATGATGGTGTGTCAATGTAGGTTCATCAGTTATAACAAATGTACTTCTCTGGTAGGAGGTGTTGATCACAGGGCAGGCTATGCATATGCAGGAGTAGGGGGTTATGGGAAATTCTGTACCTTTTGCTCAATATTGCTATGAACCTAAAACTGCTTTAAACAATAAAGTCTATTTACAGAGAAAGACAGATACTGTATGATATCACTCATAGGGGGAATCTAAAAAAACAACAAACTAGTGCATATAACAAAAAAGATGCAGACTCGCAGGTGTAGAGGACAAACTAGTGGTTACCAGTGGGGAGAGGCAACACAGGAGTAAGGGGGGAAAAAGCGTTATTATGGCCTTATATGAAATCATGTGTGTGAAACTTTTGAAAATTGTAAAGCACTATAGCATTTAAAGAATGTTTCATTCAATAGAAATTTAAAAAAAAATTTTTAAAATAAAGTCTATTTAAATAAATAAGCAAACTTCTTGTCGAAGTACAGAACGGGCTGATTCCATCCCAAGGTCAAATGTGCCTGGAATAACACATGTAGCAAGATACAGTTGTTTCACTTCAAGGGAGCCAGAGCAGTTAGACCCATTACTAGAGAGAGCTCATCAGAGGGGAAACCAGTCACGGCACTCCAGAAATAACTCTGCTACAGACGCAAGTGGAATAGAGTCACAGAATGTTAGACTATAAGAACCTAGAGAAGAAGGTCTGTCTAAATCCTCTTTCTGTTCCCCAGAGCCTAGCCATAGGCCTGCAACAGAGTAGGTTTTCGAAGCTTGAGAAAGAACAGGGAGAAACTCTCTGGGACAGAATATTCATGAGATTAATGTTGGTGTGATCATAAGACCCCATTTGTCCACTGTTACACTGGGGTCCCCTATGACTAGATGGTCCAAGAGAGTGAAATCAGATTCTGGAGCGTGCGGATCACATCTTCACTTTAACAGATCCCAGTCACCCCCACCTGGCCCATGAAGTACAGGGCCTTGGTTTCCATAGTGCTGGCAGAGGAGCCCTTCCCCGCATCCTGGGACTACAAGAGGTAGCAGGATAAAGGTCAAATTTCCACCTGTCCTCTGATACTCTCCTAAAGAGCAGAGTATCACAAGGCCAGAGCCCCAAGGGCACAATGCTGCTGCTGTAATCCCACTAAAGCCCATAAAGGACATCTTAAAATCTTACTGGAAGTAGAGGAAGAGCCCTAGACTCCTAAAACAGTATTCAAAAGACGAATTTACTTGTAAGTTTTTTTATTGTTATTTTTTCCACCTCCTTATCCGTTGGATTCCCAAGCTGGCTGTTGGTTGTACTCCCAGTTATACGCTATCAGGATTGCCTTTCCACCTGTATTCCTCACTGGAGTTAACTTGAGGCTGTTCTGACTGTTTCTCTTTGGATTTCTCAGTGGGTTCTTTCCTGGATTCTTCGCTAAATGGTTCAAATGACTCTTCAATGAATTCCTAACTGAAATCCTGTTCCCAAACGTCACTGAATTCTCCACCGGTGTGTCTCAATCTGTGGGCATTGTTTCATGCAGAAGACATTAAATAAAAGGCAGTTGAGCAAATACAAGCAAGAGACCGAACATTTCAGCAAAGTCTACGGTAAGTCTCGCTCCCACTTCCCTCACTCTGAGACAGGAGCAGAGGGCACGTCCGTGGCTCTCCACCATCTGGAAATGCTCTCTGCGCTGTCCAGTACCTTAGCCATTAGTCACAGGTGGCTATTGAGTGCATTTTTAATTTTATTTAATTTTAATTATTTTAATTTATATAGTTATCTACTGCTCGCAGCTACCATACAGGACAGTACAGCCTTTGCTGCATTGCTTGTGTGACAGAGAGACTTAATTCTTCTCAGTTAAGGAACTGATGCCTTTTCCCTGCTACTTGTCCAGTCCAATTTCCCTTGTCAGGAATGAGAATTTCCTCAGAAAAAAAAATTGGAAATAACTGAGAGGTTTGGACTTCACTAGCACAAACACACTCTGAATCACTCCCATAAAACCATTCTTATGGTCCTGCTCTATCCACTGACCAACCTGATTGCCATTGTCCAAATTTGTCCTTATTATTGTTGATACTAAAAAGAACACTGTGGAAGTGCTCATACCTAGTACTGGAAAAGAACATTTAACTTTGTTCTGTTTCCAGATACTCTCACCTTGCCATCTCATTTAGACGAACTACCATTCATTAAAAATTATTAAGAGTGGCAGAGGGGCTTCCCTGGTGGCGTAGTGGTTGGGAGTCCGCCTGCCGATGCAGGGGACACAGGTTTGTGCCCCGGTCTGGGAAGATCCCACGTGCCACAGGGCGGCTGGGCCCGTGAGCCATGGCCGCTGAGCCTGTGCGTCCGGAGCCTGTGCTCCGCAACGGGAGAGGCCACAACAGTGAGAGGCCTGCGTACCACAAAAAAAAAAAAAAAAAAAAAAGAGTGGCAGAGGAGGGACGCAAGTGAGATGTCCGAGGAAACTCAAGAAGGATGGGCGAGGCTCGTTAGTAAAATTCCCACAACAGCTTTACCTACATCACAGCCGGCTCCGGCTCTAAGCTCTCCTTCACCTTCCAAGGCCAAAAGCCAGAGACTTTCACACGCAAGAGTCAGGAACTCACCAACAACCAGAGTGAATTTAGGACTTGGACTCCAGCCCTGATTTTACCACTTACTAACTATGACCCTAAACTCATTTCCGCGGAGGAAAAGAAGCCTCATGGTACTGTCCCCCTTAAGAACTGTTATGCTGATCTCTAGAAAAAAAGATGCAAATGTTACTTTTCATTATTATTATTTTTCAGGGCTCCAAACAGCCTTAGTTTGGAAGGCAAAAAAATCCTCACAGCTTCCCCTACTGCAGCTTTGATGACAGATTCAACGGTAATGTTTTTTACCCCACTCTCTTCTTCCAAGACTTTTTCTTTGTAACTCACCCAGCGTGGTCCTAGCAGGCTTTGTTTAATGAGTCTGTGTCTAATACATTACAGATGCTCAAAAAACATTTCTTATAGGAATGAAATAATTAACGGGGTAGGAAACAAATCAAAATTTGAGCCAGACCCAGGTGAGGTGGGATTCGTGGAGATTTCCTTACGGCCAGTGAGAAAGCTAGCAACCAGGAAACTGGGCTGTGCCCGGGATTTCCTGTAAACTCGATTCAAATACTTTGGAAATAAATACCAAGTGTTACTGAAATGTTTAAAGTTGGTAGTAAGCTGACTAGCAGCAGAGGGAACAGTGAGTGAGAAGGCAGAGTTTGCAGGGCCCAGAGGAGCTGAGTTACTTGGGGTTGGCACTAGACTCCCTTGGAGCAGAAGCAGGCATAAGACCGCCAAGGTCGCCCTCCTCATGGTGGGTCTCCGGTGGGGAAAAAAACGTATTGGGAAACAAAGCAGGGAAGTACCCAGATGTCAGCTGTGCTAAGGCAAGGCAAAACCCAGGCCCGGGCCATTCCCCCACTTTCCAGTCTCCTTATGGTAGAAAGAGAATTGATAGACGATCCACTAAAATTCATTGGGCCAGTCACCAGGGGCTGAATGAGTGGGAGTCATTGGATATAAGGGACCAAATCAAAGATTTCAAAGCAAGTCAAGGATAACAAAAAGTGTTGACTGAAAGAAAAACATACAACCTAAAAGTTGCAAGCTGAGTTTTATTCAAGGATCTTCCTGAGGACTATAGCCCAGAAGACAGCCTCTCAGATAGCTCTGAGGAACTGCTCTGAAGAGGAAAGGAAGGAGCCAGGATATATATGAATTTTTCGCTGGGGAAAAAAAACAAACAAACTTGTAATTGAGCATCAAAAGAGTACTGCTGATCACAAAGAACAGACATCTCAAGTTAATGATATTAGTGCTTTTCTATGTATGAGAAGATGCAAGAATCTTGGGGTCATTGAAATTTTTCCGCAGAGATGCGTCCTAACTATCACAGGCCAGTATATCCAAAGAAGAGAATGCTTCCTGTTTTTTTCCACCCTGAATTCCCCTCAGGGTGCGTTATCCTGAGGGACTGCAGGACTGGCTGATGGATTGATCCTTATAGAACTGGAATGGCCAGCAACATTCCATTCTTTACAAAAGGCAAAAGGGGAAAGTTATTAGAAACATTAAATGCAGTTGTCACTTTCAAGTAAAAATATATGCAATGTGAAATATCAGCACCTACTGGGAATTGAGCAGAGATAACCAGTTTAGTAAATTAATGGGAGGATTTGTAAGAAAGCCTAGTATAAAGCATCAGAGATCAATCGAAATCATTATGACCGTGTCTTACTTGAAATAATCAGAATAAATAAAGCTAAAAGAACAAGGGGACTCGGAAAGAAAAAACCCACAGATATGGAAAAACATGAAACATATTCTGTAGCTGCAAAGTATACTCTGGAAACATGAGTGTTAGCAAAATCCAACTAGCTCTTTATGTTTTGGCTGTAAAATTAGTTTTCCTCCATTGAGGAAATAAATTGAGGGGTGGGGAAGGGGAAGATGAGAGGAAGATTGGAATTCAATAAAATCTATTAGAAGGAAAGGAGGAAGGTAAAAGGGAAAATCAGTGATAAGCCAGATCTCAGGGGCAAGATAAGAGGATGAAAAGAAGTTATCGAGTTTGAAGAAACTCAGAGAAGTAACAGGACAAAGGAAATCTTCACGTGTTCCTGTGCAACCCAGGCAGGATGAGGAAGCTAAGGCACAGAGAGGTTAAGTAACATCCAAAAACACAGAGCTAGTTAATGGCAATTTCAAGGGCTGGTGAAATATCCATAACAACTTTCTTGTGTATTGTTTTGATAACGATTTCAATCCAGTTGTTTATGACTTAAGTGAAGTGGTTTCAATCCCCTTGTTTATGGCAAAGACAAAAAAAAAGAGTTGATTTTAGGAGTAAAGTTGTTTTGCTATAAGAGTGAAGTAAGCTGTATCAGGTTGTCACCATCTCATCTGTTCTTGATAAGCGCTCAGGCTCAGCTGCTAAGGGGCTGCCCTGGAGGCTTATCAATAAAAACAGATGAAGCAACTAAGAGGAGGAGACATTTAGGCTATAAATACCCAGAGTTTGTGAGGACTACATGAGAGTTTCCATCTTGGCAAAGCTACCCTTTGCTGATCTAGTCTCCAAAGACCTTGGTGCTTTAGCTCCTGCCTTGGTGAAGGTGACCCTTTTACTGGCAGTGGCCAAAGCCATGCAGCAGCCTGAGAAGCTCACCTTGGCCACCAACACCCATGTGCCCTCGCTCTCTAGCAACTGCTCTAACAACATGGGACTTTTCACTTGAGTTTCACCACTGCTGGACACCAGCTTGTGGTCGGTTAAGCCAACTCTCCCGAAAACCAACCTCATTAAAAAATGTACACCTCTTATGAATGCAGACTTTATTTCTGTCCCCTCCCTTTACCTGGGAACAATAGTGTAATTAATCTTATCACTTGTTAGGAGTATGTCATTTCTTTATTGGCTTATTGAGACGTTATCCTATATGCTCTAGGCTTGTGAAATTATTGTAATCCCTGCAGTGAACCTGTGCTCAATTAACTATTGGCAAAGACTATTTCAGTCTGAGCATAATTTACCGCTCCCCAAAACAAAACATATGTCAACAGATGGATTCATCAAAAGCTGATTCACAGCATATAAACAAGACCTGAGCCTAGCTCTCAACCTTCCAACATTTTTCTTTACCCCAAATTCTTCCAGCCAGTACTAAGGGGTCTTAATGATGAACTTCCAAGAAAGAAATAGAGAGAGAAGAAAAGCGTCACATAAACAAGCACACGACCCTGCTGATAAGAAGCAAGTCAGGGTCTTTGATCACTCTCCATCCTGTTTCCACAAATGCAGCAGAGAGCAAGAGCGAGGAAAAGGAAAAGGAAGTAGAAGAAATGTCAGAATTGCAGGCTTGTTCCAGGGTCCTGGGCCAGGAGCCTTCAGGAACATCACCTTCCTAAACCGAGCCAGGCTAGATGCTGCAATCTTCTTATTCACTGAAAGTGAACTGAACAAACGTGTGGAATTTAAAAAAAAAAAAAAAAAGAGGAGAAAGACTCCAGGAGAAGAGAATGTCAGGGTCAAGTGAGAACTCGGTGATTCCCTGAGAAAGCAACCGTGACTTAAAATGCATGCGACCTGAAACTGGTAAGCGCATTTAAATAGCAAGAGCTTCTGGATGTTGTCGGCTACATGCACCACACCTGAGCCATTAGGACAGCAGGCGTGGAATGGATGATGGAAAGCTGAGAAGATCAACCCCTGCTCCCACAGATTATACTGTTCACTGCGCATGCCCCAAGCCTCTTGGGAAAAATTGGTACCTCGTCATGGTTTTCACGGCCCAGGTCTCACCTGACAGGTCCTTGGCTCAGAGGCTCAGAACCCTCCACAAGGGCTCCAGGAGAGACTTGCAATCCTTCCTTTAGATTTTGCACAGCGACAGAGCACTCCCACCAGTTAAGGGAATCTGGGCAGTCAGAGTGGCCCTGGCCTCCTGTTCCACCTGCCTCACCTGTCCCCTCAGTCCACCTCTCCTCCTGTTCCTTCAGCTGCTCCACCCTGAGCCGAAGCACTCCCCATGGGGTTCCCAAGCCTCTCCTGGTGTAACCTGAGCCTGGGCTGCTCGCTTAGCACCTGCTGGTCACAAAGCCAGCTCCTGAGAGCAGCATGTAGCTCAGCCTTGGACCCTGGGCCTCATCTCCCCAGGTCCCACGTGCCCCCTTCCCTTTGTCTAAGGTCTAAACATCAGTCGAGTCTCAAGAAGCTGCTTCCAACTAGTCGAACCCAGAATCTGTTCTTCCTAGAGGCCCTGGGATTGGCATCATGAATTTGACACTTAGCTTGTCATTTATCTTTTTTTATTGTTGTTATGTGTTTCTTTCTAAGACTAAATTCATAATCTCTATCAGGGAAGGGCCACACTATTACCCCTGTTCGTATGTCCAGGGCAATAAAGAATATGTTGATGATGATAATGAGGAGGGGGAGAAGGATGTGTTCCTTAGGGTTTCTGGGTACACTCCCACACCACCATCTGAGTCAGGCAGTGTCCTCGGTACCAGAGAGGCAAGACTCTCCCCTTTATCGTCAATGAGCTTCTGATCAAAAGGGCAAGACTAATGAGTGGAAGAGGAGGGAAACACTTTAAGCAAGGACAGGCTAAGGTATGAGGTCCTGCATGGCCTTTCATTCATTTATTCAATAGAAAGCACCTGTGCATCGTAGCACAGGCCCTGTGATAAGCGTTGAGCACACAGTGGCGCATAAGACATGATCAACTAATTACTAGGGAGTGTACAGTCTAGAGGGGAAGAGAAGCAAGCAGGCAGCAAATTGCACTGCCGTTTGTTGAAGGGGGAGTGTGCACAAGGGACACCCTCTCGGATCTTGGAAGGATGCAAGGAAGGCATGACATCACGACAGCCCAAGGATGAGTGTTGCCCTGTGAAGGGGGTGGGTGTTGTAGGGAGAAGCTCCTGGTACAAGAAAAAGAAGGAAATCCTTCTTTCTCAGTCTTTTTCCTAGAACTGTCATCTCTCCCATGCAGTTCAGGGATAAAATAGAATTTAAGTTCATGAAGGAATGGCAGAGAAGACAGAGAAAATAAAGAATTTTTAAATCGTGCTCTGAGGTTGCATTGGCAATACACCATCCTGATTTTAAAAGTCACATGGGCAACAACTATAATAGAATAATCTGTAATGGGGGCAGGGAGGGGAGGAGGGAAGCAAATGCAAAACTATATATACAGCTTGCCTGTAACTGAATAAAAAGAAAAAAGCAGGGCACAATAGACACCTATGAAAGGCTGTGAAGGAAATGCTACCAAATTACCTCTCGTGTGATTCTACGTGTATAATAAGATTTTGGATATTTCTCATTTATTTTAATAATAATTTCATTGAGTGAGCATGATTTCCTTTTATTATAAGGGGTAAATTATTTTTTAAAGAAAATATAAATGCTGCCATCCTTTTTACATGTTCTGACATGTATGTTAACTCATTTAACAAATGCATATTGAGTGTCAGACATTGTTCTAAGTATTAGTAGAACATGAAATAGGCTTAGTTCCTGACATCATGGTAAAGAGAGACATCAATAAATAAACAAGTAAATATAAATAAGCTGGATGAGATCAGTAGTGTGGAAAAAAAATCATCGAGGAAGGGTTACAGATAGTGCTGGTGTGGAAAAGTCTGGAGGAAGTTAGTGGCTCTGCTGTTTTACACGGGGCTCTGAGAAGGTCTCCCTGAGAAGGGCTTTTAACAAAGTGAGGGAGACAGCTATATGCTATCTGGAGAAAGAGTGTTCTGGGCTGCAGGAGCATTAAGTGCAAAGGCCCTGAGGTGACATGGAAACGGGCTTGGTTAATTTCACGCACTGCTGCCTGGTCTTCTCCCAATATAGTATGAGTAAAATTAAGAGCCACCAGAGAGAAATTTTCAGAACATAAATATATATACCAGACTTAATTTAGTCAGCAAATATTCATTGAGTGCCTGTAAGATACCAAGCACTGTTCTAGGTGTGAGGGACCAAGCAAAGTCCAAAACAAAGTTCCTGGCCGCAATGAAGCATAACCCTGTTTAGGAAGCAGCTGACAAGTTAAAGAAGTAAAATATATATACACTTCATACACCACACAGTACAAGTAGTAAGAAGGAAAGCAAGGCAGAAAATAGAGACAGGGCTGTGTGTTGGGTGAAGAGCCACAGACCTAAGGGACATAGGCAAGTCAAAAAGATGAAGGGACACAGCTAATTTTCCTATTCTGGAATTGGTGCTTCAGTATGGCTTTATAGTCATAAATAAAGATCATAATTTCAAAACAGCGACAAATCAACTTAAGACCATGTTCTGTGTTATTCCCTCATTTTTCACAGAGCAACTGGCATGGACTTGAGGAGTGTCACTGCTTAAGTTTAGCTTAAGCAAAACAGACTTAAGGAATCAAGTCTGCTAGAATAACAGCTAACATCTGTTGAACACTTTACAGTGCCAATCACTGTTCCAAGGGCTAGATATATGTATATTTAATTTATATAAACAAAACATATTTATCTGCACAGCAGTTCTGTGAAGTGGATACTATTATTCCCAATGTATGAACACAATGAATGAACAAACTGAAAAGTTAAACTACTTGTTTCAGGCCACACAGTTAGTGAGTGGCTGAGCCTGGAACACAAATCCATGGTACCTGCCATCCAGGGGCAAGTTTGAACCACTGGAACATACGTACTGCTCCCATGGCCAGAAAGGAAGCCCATACATAATGGATCTCCCAGTAAAATAGGGATGACTTAGAATCACACAGTGTTAGGTCTTGAAATTAATTCAGAAATCTTGTCACACATCCTGATCTTAGAGACCCAGAAGGAATGACCCAAACCCAGATGTCAAGTGTTCAAATTCCCAAGCTGTCCTTTCTTCAGTATAATGTGTTTGTGTTAGCTGTTGTTTGTGGCTGTATATCTAGATCTATAAATCACACCTTTGCTTAAAGAGCATTAATAATAAACAAAATTCCCAGCAGGGTGTGCCTGGCCTTTAGGACTTAGGAAGCCAGATTTCTGTAGAACGCACACTCATAAAGACGCATACGTGTTACTGCTCTAACCTGGCGGACTCTTCTGATGCCGTGGATGGTGTCATTCCTCACGAAGATTCTGTCGTCCATGCCATTTGTGGCAGGAATCATCCCCATCTGACACTTTTTCCAAGTACAGATTTCCACTGGCTCATCACTAGCTCTTGCCGGTAACACATTCCTTGGTTTGGTAAATCTCCATACCGCTTCTGGTCAAAACGGTAATGACGAAACCATTAACATTGATAGTGCTCTACAGTTTGGTTCAGTAGGAACAAGTCCTACTTGACAAAATAATAGTCATTCCTGAGGCTGGAAGCAGGGAAATACAACAATAAACACTGGTCATCATTTTTTTCCCCCCAACAAATATTTATCAGGCACTTACGTGCAAAATTAAGAAGAAAGTAATCTCTCCTCTTACCCTCTCCCATCCTCATTGGAGAGGAGAACTGGAAAGGGAAGAACATAGGACCCTAGGCCTCGATTTTGCAATCTAGTTTAGGAGGCAGATACCTTATCGAAGCAAGTAAATAAGGAAAAGAACCATGCTGAGAGTTTAGAAGGACAAGTGATTGAAATCAGGGATTGAGAAATTGGTATCGGAGACCATAGCATTTGGTATGAATGTTGGCGATTGGGAAATTAGAGTAGGGAAAGGACATTCTGAACCTGAAGCCCTGTTGCATCAGACGTTAATGTCAACCACTAAGAAAAGATAAGCAAGTAGCCTTTGGGTGGGGGGTGGTCCGCTGACGAGATGTTTTACCTGAAGGGATTCCACCGAAAGGATAAGAAGTCCTTATTCTTCCTTGAGGTCATAAGACAGGACTCCTTTATGTAATTGCTCCCATTTATAGAGAAAGGAAAAGTTCCGTTCTGGTTCTCCTGTCCACAGTAACGAAATGAGATTTCTTTTATCACCGCTGACTCCAGGTCCACCCCTCCCCCACCCCAAAATCCTCGCTCCTCGAGATCTTTCACTGAGCACCTAGTAATGCCTCCTAGGATGCTGAACAATGCTCAGAAAAAGATGAAAATTACACGAGTTCTCCCTGTCAGGATTTCAGAGACTCACGAAAGAGAGAGGCATACAAAGAAATAATGGCACCTAAGATAAGACTAGCGAGAATGCAGGTCTGAATAAAATCCAAGGAGACAAGAGTGTAAAAGTTCAGGAACTGTGGCATTGGGGGAAGGAAGATCTTGAGAAGAGCCTGGCCTGAGACACCTCACAGGGCATTTGCCAGTAAGGGGTGGAATAAATGTTGAAGAGTGATGGAGAGAACACTTGAACCAGATTAAAGGCCAAGTGGGTTTAAAACAAAGTGGTGAGTTTGGTGAGTAGAGAGCATACATTTCAGGACTGGAGACTTGCTGGGAAGCCAGAAAGAGATGAAGGGCCCTGAGTGTCATGTTAGGGAGCCTGGGCTCCACCCTGTAACTCAGTGGGCAGGTACCCCACGCTTCATATCCACACGGTGACTTGCTGGAAATAGGAATTTCTGCTCCCTACTTCAGTGTAGGACCTAGGAATCTACATTTTTAACCACCTCTCCAGGTGATTCTTAAATAAAGTGTGATAACAGTGGCCAGAGTAAGGGGACCTTTGAAAAATTTTAAGCACGGGAGAAAAGTAAACAAATTGACGATTAAAAAATATTACATACATACATACTATATGTGTGTGTATGTGTGTGTTTCATATCTAACCTTTGTACTAGTTCGAAACTATTTTCCATGTGTGGGCATCTCATTTCCCCCATTAGGAGAGAAAGACCATGCTCACCTCAACGTGCATCATCAACTAATTACTCCTCCTCTGACCACAGCCAACAGTGCTTCAGGGTCTTCAAACATAGGTGGCAGGAGTGCCCATGCAGGGGAAAGGCCACACCTAAGACGTCCTTCCGAGATCCATACTGGTCCCAGCATCTTCAGCACCTCATCCAATGTTCCAGTGCTGGAGGGCTGCTACCTTACCTGCCATAAGTCTGATATATCTAATTATGGTACCACCCCTCCTTAATGGCTTTCCATTGTCCACAGGAATAAGGCCAAGTGCCAAGGTAAAGCATGAAAGAACCATCTCAGTCCAGTCCCTACCTACTTTTCCTAAATTATTTCTTACCGATATCACTGGTGCACTTGAGGGACCAACCACATGGAACCACTTATCATTCCCAGGTATGTGACATACATTTCCATCTCTGTACCCTTGCACATGCTGTGTTTTCTGTGAAATACCGACTGTCCTGACTCCACATTAGTGTCTTCCTGGGAAAGTCCTACTCATGCTTCAAGAGCCAGCTTAGATGTCACCTCCTCTGTGAAGCCTTCCTTGATTCCCTCTGAGAGAAATACTTGAATTACTCCACCTCTTTCAATTATTATCTGTCTGTTTTGATTCTGGCAAAGAAGAGTCGTAACAGCTCCTTTCTCTATCACCTATCCTGTCTTTTGCAGCCCTTCATATATTTAGCATATTTCATTAATACTAGAGTACAAAAATAACAACCACATAAATGACAAATTAATAGAATTTTTCTCCCTGCTGATTGAGCGATTTCCAATGGGATATGGTGTTCTTGTTTGCCCTTTGTTTTAATATTTGGAGAATAGAAGCTCTACTCAACAAGTTTTAAATTTTCTTTCTTCCTTTCATTCTTTCTTTTTTTCTTTACTACTGTTCATGCTCTTGAACTCTTGTTTGCAGAAAAATCGTTATATTTCTTTCCAAAGAATACTATGACAAAGTACCACACACTGGGTGGCTTAGAACAACAGAAATTTATTCTCTCAAAGTTCTGGAAGCCTAGAAGTCCAAAATAAGTGTCCATGGGGCTGTGCTCTCTGTGACGGTTCTAGAGGGAGAATCCTTCCTTGTTTCTTCCTGCTTCTGGGGGCTCCAGGTACTCCTTGGCTTGTGGCAGCATCACTCCAGTCTTGGCCTTGTCTTCATATGGTCTTCTCCCTTTGAGATCCTTACCTTAATTACATCTACAATGGCCCTTTTATCAAATAAGTCCACGTTCCAGATTCCAGAGATTAGGACGTAGGCGTATCTTTTGGGGCGCTACCATTCAGCCCACTACAATGATCTTCTTGCTTACAAGCTATGTGTCGATAGTGTTTTCATTATGTCACAAATGCTAATAAAATGTTTTTGACATTTTGGCATAACTTAGGAAGTGCCTAGAACACAATCTCACCAAGTGTCATACTTTTTTTTTTTTTTTTAATTTTATTTATTTATCTTTGGCTGTGTTGGGTCTTCGTTTCTCTGCATGGACTTTCTCTAGTTGCGGCGAGCAGGGGCCACTCTTCATCGCAGTGCACAGGCTTCTCACTGTCGCGGCCTCTCTTGTTGTGGAGCACAGGCTCCAGACGCGCAGGCTCAGTAGTTGTGGCTCACGGGCCTAGCTGCTCCGCAGCATGTGGGATCTTCCCAGACCAGGGCTCGAACCCGTGTCCCCTGAATTGGCAGGCAGGTTCTCAACCACTGCGCCACCAGGGAAGCCCACCGAGTGTCATTCTTATAGATGACAGAAGGTGATATAGCAGGAAAATTGGATAATTGATCATTCATTCAGATTTGCTTTGGATGTTAACATAACTTAAACTCTTGACATAGGAAACCACTAAAAGAGCAGCCGACTTCAATTATCTTTAAAAATGCTTGGTTGCAACCAGCTAGTCTCCTTCCCCTGATAGATTACCTTGTCCTCTTTGGTGAATTTGAACAGTGTAATAGTTGGGAATCAAGCTCTCCTAAATTAAACTGAGATTTACCCTGTTTTAATTACCAAAGCAGAGAACAAAGAAATGTTACTACTCAAGAAATCCTATTAATTCTAAATAAAATACACACAAGCACACACCGAAGAGTGTTAACGTTGAATAACTTACATCTAAAAACTTTGTTTGCAGTTTAAATCAGGGTTTCTCAACCTTGGCATTATTGGCATTTGGGACTAGATAATTCTTTGCTGTGGGGCTCCTGTGATTAGAGGGTGTAACCTTCCTGGCCTCTACCAGCTGGATGCCAGCAGCCCCTGCCTAAATTGTGATGACCAAAAGTGTTTCCAGACATTGACAGATGTCCCTGTGGGACAAAACTGCCCCTAAATGAGAACCACTAGTTTAAATGGGAAAACTCATATTTTAAAAATGGAAAAGTAAAAGTTTCTGTGTTGATTTGTGTAGAAGGGAAAGTGATCCTGATAGTTGTGATGTTACAAATTTGCTCCTAAAAACACAGAAAAATTTTTGTGAGGAGCTAAAATAGAAAGCAATTATATGTTTCAAACTTACTGTTACTTATGCTATCTGAATTAATTTCCCCATTTTAAAAAATGGAAATTATAATACCCCTTGGAACACTATGAGATCAAGTAAAATAACAAAATATAATACAAAATAAAATAACAAATATAATACAAAATATAATACAAAGTAAAATAACAAAATACCAGAGGGCTAAGCACATAGCAGGTGCACAAAAAAGTTAATTTTTTTCTTTCCTCATGGACCTATGGAGGCCTTTCCGTTGTTTTCTTTGGTTGTCTTATTATGTTTTTTTCTTGTGTGTTTCAGCATAACTTTGGTTCCAGAGGATTATATTAAGACTTTGTAAAGTGATATTCTTGTCTAAAGCAAACCAGAATCTACATTTGGCTGTTTGTGGAACTTTCTTGCTTTTAATGTTAAGGGAGAGAGAGAAGGGGAAGGGGCGAGGGCACACTAGAGAAAAGGAAAGAATATCTCTCTCCTGCAGCCACCCTGACAGATATTGTTTTAGAGAAGTTAGAAAAGAAGTTAGAGGAACCACATTCAGAAAAGACTGTAAAAGACTCAGTATAAGCAATGCTAAACTTACCCCATAGGTTGCGTTTTCCAAAAAGATCTTGTGACCCACTCCATTGGTGGAGGGACCTCTCTACATGCAATATTATTGAGTGTAGACTTCCCACTGGGACACTACTGGCCTTCACTGGTAACCCATTCCTGGGTACAGTAAGTTTTCATAGCTCTCCCACCTAAAATATTAATAACTAAACATTAACGATAAAAGGGCCCCAGTGTATGAGGAAAAGGGTTTCAGTTTGGTTCAGTAACAAGATCATGCTACAATGGAGCTTTTATATATTGAGATCAAGTCAGTCTTCAAACCCCAGATTTACATATTTAACTAACGTATTTTCTACAAGGGCCTCAAATTAAATAAGTTCAAAACAGGGCTCCTCTTCTCTCCCCAGAACCTCTTCCCCTCTTGTGTCACCCATCTCAGTGATGTCACTAACCTCTTCTACTCCCTACTCATCTCTGCTGACCTCTGCTCTGGCCCTAAACTTGTCAAATGTGACCTTCTCCCTTTCTCCCTATCCCATAGATCTAATAAACTAAATCCTGTCGATTCAGTTTCTTAAGTAGCTTTTAAATCTCTGCCTTCCTTCCATTCCCCTTCAGTCCTGCCCCCTCCAGTTTAGTGAGCACAGTATAGATTTGTCTTCTAAAGAGCAAACCTTTTTGCCTCCTTCTCCCACTTAAAACCTTTCACTGGTTCCCTCATTGCTTTCTGGATAAAGTCCAAACTTTTAATACAAAGGCTTTGGCTACTTCCTAAAGTTCATTTCTTGGCACTAACCAGCCCTCTAGCACTGTGGTCACTGCACCACCACCCATAAACACGCAGTGTAAACCGTGGTCTCACCGGAGTACTTTAAGTTTCCCGAAACACCACGCTCTCCTTGCTTCTGCTCCTCCCACCCCAACCCCTAGCCTTCTTTCAGCTTACTTTATCCTGATCCATCGGTTTTGGTTTAGACATCATTCCTTCAGGGAAGATTTCCTTGGGCTGCCCAGAGAGGGTCACGTGTCATCCTCTGGGGTTCAGTTTCATGTTGACTTACACTCACAAGGCAGTAAGCTTCTTCTTGTTCCACAATTTCATCCCCAGCACCTAGTCCATAGTGTGCTATTAATAATAGTTGTTAAATAATTGAAATACCTGGCAAATGATAATAAGATTTCAGTTCTCTTGACTGTGATCCTTATATTTATCTCAGTATCTCATATTACATACTTATTTATTTATTGAATAAAGAGGTATGCTTTTTCTATCACACATAGATCTTTCAGTGTGTACCCAAGCCCACTGCCGTTATTATCTATATTCAATACAGAGAACTTTCTCCTAAGCCCAGGCCCAAGTTTTGTTTATTAGTTTGTTTTTCTGTTATGTTGTTTTAAAGAGTTGCCAAAAGTTTAGTGTGCATTTTAAATGTTCTTTTAAAATATTTAAACAATGTATTTTATTTTTGTTTTTTGCGGTACGCGGGCCTCTCACTGCTGTGGCCTCTCCCGCTGCGGAGCACAGGCTCAGGACGCGCAGGCTCAGCGGCCATGGCTCATGGGCCCAGCCGCTCCGCGGCACATAGGATCCTCCCGGACCGGGGCACGAACCCGCATCCCCTGCATCGGCAGGCGGACTCTCAACCGCTGCGCCACCAGGGAAGCCCTAAACAATATTTTTAAGACATCAGTGATATAATCTGATATTTTCACATATTTCCTTTTTAAAAAAATTATGGTAAAAAAATTACATAACATAAAATTTACCATCTTATCCTTTTTAATTACAAGATAGATAACATGTGCTTATCTAGCATGTATTTTTATTATATCACTGAAACTAAAGCAAAATACCCTGTTCATTGGGTTAAAATGGCCTGCTCTATGTGTGTACACTTCAGTACAATGAGTAAAAAAGAAGTCTAGAATTCACTCTGTCTTTCATATTCTAATGACACACCGCACATGAAGATGTATACATCTTCTCCTCTGTTTTTCTCGTATCAGGGTGCCACGCCCATGGTCTAAAACAAGACCTCTGATTAAGCTTGTCTCATTCTCAGCTTAACACTTCATCTCCATGATCTCAATGGTGAAGAGTTTGTTCACTTAAAACAATAAAACAGCCAGTTAGTTTACCAGCAAAATGGATTTATTCGGGAGCAGCAAAAAATTGCAACTTGGGGACATGCAACCGTGATGAACCCCATGCAAGTCCAGTAAAACAAAAGAGAAGAAATTATTTTACAGAGAAGGGAAATTTGGGAGCTATAAAAACACAAAGTTCATTGGAGGAAACTGGGAGTTCAAAGTATAGTAGCTTTTCATT